ATGTTTCAGTCAATTCACTTGCTCAGACTGGGCAATATACCAGAGGTTTTCAAACTGGGAACTACCAACATACCTTGGTTTAATTGTTCTTTCTCTGTCTTTAAATTATTATCTACATTTATAATTAGATATTTAGTTTGGTTGGCAAGACATAAGTCATGTATAATAGTGTGGTATAAATTTTCATTAAATCTAAAAACTGAACAGAGACAGTGCTGAAAACTTGAGTTTAAGTGTTTTGTTTTTGTTTTTTGTTGTTGTTTTCAATTCTTTTTATTGGATGTCAGTGGATACACACAGTTCTCTTTCAATACTGATTCACTTTATTCACAGAACTGAGGCATGCTGGGATAGAATACAACTTTACATCACACATTCAATACTTATTGTATATTTCATTTCTTTTTCAGCTTGTATGAAAAGATAGTTGTTTTAACATTAATATTGATGACAGTAATTAATAGATGCTGATTAGTGTTTACTGATGTTGCTTATACATTTTCACATCATTTGTAAATGCAGACTACGTGATAGCATAGATATTTATGTGTTTTTATACATATATATATATATATATATATATATATATATATATATAATGTGTGTGTCTTTGTAAATATTCACAGTGTATCTGGAGAGGAGATAAAATAAATAAAATGAAACAAATTAAAAACTATTCTTAGCTGATGTATTTTGTTCTCTGAGGAACTTTATCAAGTCAATGTAGGGTTTATTTTGCTGCATGTGTTTATATACAAAGGCAAAGATGCCATTGGTTTATCAAGGCTTTAACACTTGAGAACGTTTTTGGATGTTCATCAGGTGGTTGTAAGGTCAGTCAAAGCTTATGGAGGACACAAAGTGTCATAATTAAAAGTCTGGCTAATAGTAAAATGAGTGAGTAATATAATAAATTTTTTAAAAATGTTTTAAATTGTTTAGATTGTTATGGCATGAGATGGGCATATGTAATGTACATCTACAAAAGTATGAGGTGATGGTTGTATATAAGCCTGTGCAGCAAAATAAATCCTACATTGCCTTGATAAAGTCCCTCAGAGGATGAAATGCATTGGCTAAGAATAATTTTTCCTCTTGTCTCTTTTTATTCATGTATTATATATATATATATATATATATGTGTGTGTGTATGTATATGAAATGGTTTAAGTCCAACAATTATTTAATATATTTTCTGTTTATACATTATTTTAATAGATACAATTTATTTAAGTAAATGCTCTGTTTTTTAGATAAACAGTATTAATTACATTTACCAAACTGAATGTTCAAAGAATTTTGTAGTAAAATTTGTGTTCTCCAACAGGAATTAAAATTTCTCAAACATTCAGGACAATAAGTGTAATTAATACTGTTTCTTTAAAAAAACAAAGCATTTACTTAAATAATATCTATTAAAATAAAGTATAAATAAAAAATATATGAAAAAGAGTGCACACTGTATATATATATATATATATATGTGTGTGTGTATATATATATATATATATATATATATATATATATATATATATATACACACACACACACACACTGTACACACTTCCCAAGAATTATGGCAATACTTGTGATCTTCACCTCAAGGACAAATAATATCCATAATTGATTCTCAAAATTGCTCTGTTTTGTTTATTGGGGTGAGCCTGGGTGGGGAAATGCTAAATTGTGTTGCCATAGGAACCAAATATTGACATACGTAGCATAATCTATTGTGACTCAAGTTGACAAGTTATAGTTATTAATATATTAGGAGAGGAAAATGTGTGTGGAGACGTGTGTATATGTATATATATATATATATATATATATATATATATATATATAATAGAAGATGACTGACAAAGCAATGTGATTAATTTTTTTTTTTTATTATATTTTTCTTTTATGCATACAAGTGGTTTTGGACATAGAGTTTACGAACTGCCCAAATGATCTTTGAGTTCAAACACTTTCAGCTAATCTATTAACCATGATCAAGGATATTTTTGTTTCTCTTAATATGTAGATGTTTTTTAGCAATAGAAATGTTCCAATTTACAAACACAGCATATTGTGGCTGTCTTCATAATTAATATGATTAATTGGTTTCTTGTTTTTATTATGACACCTTGTAATGGGAATCTTTCACCTATCATGATGGATTGGTGTTCTCTCTTTGACTTGGATGCCTGTTGAGACTCAGGCTAATCTCAGTCTTAAAGTGGAACTTGTATATGTAAAGATGCTCGAAAAATGGTCAGGTCATTATAGCACATCCCAGGGAGTACCTGACTCCTTCTGTTAGGCTTAATCTTTGCAAGAGCCAGATCAAACCAAAAATTGAGTATTGCTGTCATATCTGGGCTGCAGTTGCCCAGTCCTCACTTGCCTGTCTTGATATAATTCAAAAGCTCAATGTCACTATGTGAGTGAGGAATTATTTTCCACTCTACAACTCCTTTCTCGCAGACGAAATGCCACAAACCTCTCGCTACTCTATCTTTATTTCCTTGGCAAGTGTCCTGACAAGCTACATTCCACCTCTTTGAAGCTAGACCCACCTTGCCACATATACAGAGATGAATCATCCTCATTCCCTTCGTATTCCATGAGTAAAGAGGAAGTTCCACTCTGACAGCTTCTTACAAGAAACTGCTGTTTTGTGGAACAGACTCCTGACAGGATGCTTTTTTGATAACTATAATCTTAACTGCTTCAAGTCTAAGGTTAACTTTCTCATATAACCACGTAAACTGCACTTCTTGCCTTTCCTTACATTCATACAACACCATAGAGGAACCTTCTACTTTGAGTGACTCTTTAGGCTCGTATTGGATGAACATTATATAAATATATATATATATATATATATATATATATATATATATATGGTGCATTGGATAAATTGTTGTCAAAATTATGTAAAAATGAAAATATCACTTGATATCTCATTTTAACAGATGCATTTACCAAAATAATACAAAAATATCTAGAAATGCTAAAGAGTAAATTTATTCAATTAAATCGATATTGGCTTCAGCCACAGCCTCCAAATGACTTCAACTCTTCTGATAGGCCTCAGTGTTGAATCTGAGGCTCTGTGGAAAAACAAATGGAGGCATAGCGTCACCATCACTAGTGATCACTCCAAACACCTTCATAATCACCATTAGACTCATCCAACTCTTTCAGAATCTTCTGCACTATCCTCAGATTGACACCTAAACATTCTCCAATGTTCATATTGGAGCTTCCAGCATGAATGCCAAACAGTACATCATGCTCTTTCCAAATTTCTGGCAGAGTGAATTGCATCATGGTGCTCTTTTTCTCATGGACAGTGCCCAACAGATCCGACTATACTGTGCCGTTGACAAAATAAAACAACATGCATGCATGAAATTAAGAATATAAAATGGCAACAATTTACCCATTGCAACCTCTGTGTGTGGTTCAAACAATCACTTTCTGACCCAGGTTCAAATCTCAATATGGTCAATTTGTCAAAAAGGAGACTTCCTGATGTTATTGGTCTGGAGGGGGTGATCCCAGCATGCAGCACCTTTGGAAAGTGCCTGAAAATTATACCAAGAGTTGAGTGAAATTGATTAGACAGTACCCTTAACATGAAGTCACAAGTCATCATTACTGAGAGTGTGAGCATGCTAGCCTTGTTCAAATTGTTGATCACACAAGATAACACACTTTTTCCCAGAGACTGTAACTAATGTCTGCTCAGCATACTTGGCCTCTGTGGATGCTGAACAAACACAAAATGTGCCTAAGCAAGCGTCTTCAATAGGGATTGGTTAGCCACCCTAGTAGGCAGGTATCCTCAAATATGAGTGGCCAACTATATATATATATATATATATATATATATATATATATATTGTATTTGGGCAGCATTATACAATTAAAAATTACTGACAAGGTACTACAGTTAAGTTTTTATTTAATTTTTCTTGTTTCTTATAATTTTATTCTTTTCTGAACATAAATTATATAAAAATTGTCTGAATGTTCTGTATATCTGAGCACTTTCTGCTATACTTTTAGCCATTATTAAGGATGATTTTATTTTTACTTCTAACTGAATGTATGGATTGTTTTATGTATGCATCTCGAGTTATAGGAATGTTTATTTTCCAAACACAGTCAGCACATTGTAGCTATGAAATTTACTAGCTTAGTACCTAAACTTTTAGTTTACTAGCTCACTTTGGGTTAGAGGGTCTTTTCTCTTCCCAAGAGGTTTTATCATATACTCAATAATAAGGAAAATAAGCCATTATTACTGTATAAATTTTCCTTAAGATTTTAGCATCTTTTGCCTAATCTACCTTGCTGTCTGATTGTAATCTTAGGGCTGGTGGATTTTAAATTTAAGGTAAGCCTCTCATTAAAAAAAAACTGAATGCCATGCACTAATGGGATAAATAGTTTCAATATCTTAGTTTAGTAGGAGTTAGTTAAACCAAAGAATGTTTGAAACTTACTAGTTACTAATTCCCAAACTTTTGGCCTCTAGTTTATATCTAAAACTTGTTTTCCTTTGTTTCTTTTTTCTTTATACCCTGTTGTACAGGGTTGATTACAGGTAGGATGTGATGGTTATCTGTTTAGTATTTACCTTTCCTTATTACCTGTGATACAACAAACTCGTTCCTTCTCAATAAGTCTGCATAAGAAAATTCATGAAAAATAATTTTGCATTCTTTTCTTTTCTTTTCTATGTTCAAAATGCCATTTGTTCAAGCACAATTTGTTTTTGCCTTCTCAGCCATCAGTAAATCCTAATCGTCTTCTTTTTTTTCTTTTTTTCAGCTTTAATCTGTACAGTTGAACAGAATATTCCTGAGAAATTTGGTTATAGATTTTTCAGAAAATATTTCTCTTTCCTATTTGTTTTTCCATCTATTTCAGAAAAAGAATTGTTTACCAAGCATTTCTCCTTGATAGTTTTTTTTTTTAAGCAGATAGAATTTTTTTTTTTTTTTATGTCTATTCCTTCATCATCACCAAAATTATTAGAATTCTTTCCTTCTGTCTGCTTTTTCTTTTCTTTCTTTCTTTCATTCTTTCACTACCTTTTCTCTTTCTCAATAAGTTTTTTTTTAATCTTATTGACTTCATTTCTACTTTCATGACATTCTGACCCTTTTTATTATTGTTTATTTCTCTTTCAATTTCTTTAGTTTTGTTTCTTATTTCTTTTTTTCTTTTTAAGTTACTTTTTAATTCTTAAGACTCTCCTGATTTTTTCCTCTACTTTTTCCTTTTTAAATCTTATGCTACTGCCTCTCTTCTTTCTCTTCTTTTTTCAACCCCTCTCCTCCCTTGTTTTCTTTTTTTTTTCTTTATCAACTTCCTTTTTGCTACCACACTTTTTTCTTTTCTATTTATTTTAAAATTTATTTATTTTCCTAATTTTGACCTCAATTTTATTCTTTGATAAGATTTTGAACTTTTGATCATTTTATTCCTATTTCTTTCTTTTATCATTTCTGTTATTTTGTCTCCTTTTTCGCTTCCCGTTATTTTTGTCTCCTTTTTCGCTTCCCCATTATTTTTGTCTCCTTTTTCGCTTCCCGTTATTTTTGTCTCCTTTTTTGCTTTCCCATTATTTTTGTCTCCTTTTTCGCTTCCCCATTATTTTTGTCTCCTTTTTCGCTTCCCGTTATTTTTGTCTCCCTTTTCGCTTCCCTATTTTTTTGTCTCCTTTTCGCTTCCCGTTATTTTTTGTCTCCTTTTCGCTTCCCGTTATTTTTTGTCTCCTTTTTCGCTTCCCGTTATTTTTGTCTCCCTTTTCGCTTCCCGTTATTTTTGTCTCCCTTTTCGCTTCCCGTTATTTTTGTCTCCCTTTTCGCTTCCCGTTATTTTTGTCTCCCTTTTCGCTTCCCGTTATTTTTGTCTCCCTTTTTCGCTTCCCGTTATTTTTTCTCCCCTTTCGCTTCCTATTTGTTTTGTCTCCTTTTTGCTTCCCCGTTATTTTGTCTCCCTTTTTGCTTCCCCATTATTTTGTCTCCCTTTTTGCTTCTCAGTTATTTTGTTTCCCTTTTCGCTTCCCCGTTATTTTGTTTCCCTTTTCGCTTTCCCGTCATTTTTGTCTCTTTTCTTCGCTTCCTCGTTAATTTTTGTTTCCCCATTATTTTTGTCTCCTTTTTTTTATTTCCCCATTATTCTTATCTCCCTTTTAGTTTCCCATTATTTTTTGTCTCCCTTTTCAGTTCCCATTTTGTTTTTCTTCCCATTGCTTTTTAATTAATTTTCTTTTTCATGCCTTTCATTTCTTCTTTTTTTTTTTTTTTTTGTTAAGTAACTTTTTCTTCCTTAGTTCAGAAAATAATCAATAGATTATCAAATTTCTAAATTCAGTGATAATAAGAATTTATTATTTTTGATTATATTGATTATTATCACTGAATTATAGTCTACTGATAAGAAATTCTATAATAAAATTAAGTATGCAGCATAGAAAGTGCTTTTAAATATTAAAAAAAGCAAAATTACCCTAATCCTTAGTTTCCACCATGTCCTTCAAAGTAGTCCTCTGCTTGCTGTCTGCACATTAACCTACAAAGAATATTAAGAAAAGTACCCAGAACATTTAGCTTATACATACTGTTCATATTCTCATGAACAGCTAGCAACTTGTAAGAAAATCTACTCATGGTTCAGAAAATCCTAGTAAAATTTTATGGATTATGTTCTACTAGCTTGACTACCTTCTTGTCACTGTCTTTAAAATTTATTTCTTTTAAAACAGACAACCTGATTCTTTTATTGAAATGTTTACCCCAATAAGTATGCCCACTAAATATAATATTTATCATATGTAATAAGGTGATATTAAAAAGAAAATTTGTTAATCTCTTTAAAAATGACCATTAATCTCTTTTAAAAAATCCATTAATTCCTTTTAAAAATTCTTTAATCCCTTTCAAAAATACATTAATTTCTTTAAAAATCCATTAACCTCTTAAAAATCAGTTGACTTAAAAAATCCATTTATCCTTTTAAAAAAATCTGTTAATTACATAAAGATTATTTGTATACATTTTGTGTACAAGAATAAAGTTAGCAGAGGTAGACTTCAAAAAAGTTTCCATCAAGAATTGGCAACTTTAGGATTCATGAGGTTATGTTATTTCCTTGAGAATTAGTCTGCAAAGAAAGCTGGAAGAACAATCCAAAGACAGTGCTAAGTCTGTGTGTGTGCTTCTCAAAGAGAAAAGAGGCAAAAAAATGGTAACAGATTGGTGCAAAGACTGCACAACTCCATTGTGTATAAAATATTTCAAGGATTATCATATTGTTAGAAAAACATTTTAAATCTCGGAATTTGTTTTATTTCCTGTTTTATCTTCATTTTTATAATCTAAAAAGAGTTAAAATGTCATTTTTATAGTTTTTGTATATAATTAAAGTGAAAAAAAAGCATTAAAACTACCTGTAAAAAAAATGAATTTTCTTGCTTCTTAGATGTTTGGCATACATGGTTATGGAAATTCCCCACCCCTGCCACCAATTAAGAATTAATGGATCACAGCATGGGCTGGGATCCATTAAATCCATTAAACATTCAAAACGAAATCTTTAACTCTTGTTTAAAATTAAGTTTTATTACATTTCTTGCAAACAATTATTAGTTTCTTTTTTTTTTATTTTTTTTTTTTTTCAGTCACAGATTTCCTATAACTGTATACAGTATACTTAGCAATTTGTACAGGATTAATTAGAGTTTCTTAGTAACGTTTGACTTATATTGTGTATAAGTCATTCAGAAATCTGTAAACTGTCATCTATATAAAAAATGTTTTCTCAGATCACTGATTAAAAATGGCTTCAGGCAAATGAATACTCTAGGTGTTAAAGAAGAGAATCCTTCACCAGATCTAGACTGGCTCTAGAAAATCACAAAGTGCTTCACCAAATAACAACAACCACATCTCTTGAAGAATTCCAACAGCAGCAACAACTAAAACAGATGGTAATAGCAATATTAGCTATTTCCCTATAAGGGAAACTTTTGGCATTCATTGACCAAGCAGCCAGTACTGTTTTCAGTTGAAATTTATCAAATCTTTCTCTTAAAACACCTTTTTTAGGAAAACTCTTTTCTCAAGTACAGTAGCTTTTATCACCCTTTCCAGTATTGACAGGGGTTTCCTTCCAAACCATTTATTTGAAGTGGTGTAGAATGGTAACCTCTTGATTATATCATTATTTTCTCTTCAAGTTACGTGTGCTATCCATTTTAGTTGTTGCTGCTGTTGGTAGTCCTCAATTGGTATGATTTCTGTTAGTTGGTACAATTCTTTATCTGTGATTCTGTAGTGCCAGTCTGCAATGTCAAAGAAAGATTATCTTTTCCAAGACCCTCAGGCTTCACTTGCTTTTGCCATTGATCTTAGAAAGCAATTATATACTGCTGACAGTTTAGATATTTCTGAATGGGTTTGACATCCATATGAAAGTCTAGATCTGATGAGGCTTAGCACATGTAAGTAGAAGGGAAAATAATGATACAGCCAAGATGTGGATTTACCATATTACCTTAAAGATAAGGCAAAAAATTAGGAAGGGAGCTAATCAGTACTAGAAAGAGCAATAACAGCTAGTGGACTCTAAAAACTGTTTTAAGAAAAAGATTTTATAAATTTAAACCAACAGTCATGCTGTTTGGTCAATGAATGCCAAAAGTTTCCTTATAAGGAAACAGCTAATCTTGCCATTAACATAATTTGAAAAGTTTCCAATATTCCACAATTATTAGCAAGCAGTGTGTATTGGAAATAAAGAATAGATCCTAAGAATTGTAATAAAAGCAAATCAAAGATTAAGAATTCACAATGTTTCATTTAAGAAATTCAAATCTACTTATCTTAGGTTAAGACTCAGATCATATTTAAATATTACTAATATTACTAAATATTATAATTTTTATATAGATAAAAGCCCAATAACTGTCGAAGTAATAGTCTAACATTATTAATAATATCAACTGGAATCTTTTATTAGGCTTTTACCTAATAATAGGGTGACCTCTTGGGAATACCTAGTGTTGTAAGCTTGGATGTGCAGGTGGTGTAATAGATAATAGCTCGGAATTGTTAATCAGAGAACTGAGTTCCAATTCCCATTGGGTACATTATAATCACTTAGGTGCAAATACACAGGGAAAAGGTATGAATCCACCCCTTTCCCCCCTGCTATGGATTAATTAGTAAGATGTGCATCACTAAACAATTATCTCCAAAAAAATGAAATTCTTAAAATCTAAAAATATTTTATGGCTTTAAATAACCTGGAAAGGGTTGATAAGTTGTAAAAAATGAATCAGATAATCTAATAAGAGTTTCCAGAGTTGAACAGAGTTCAAGAGTGTTTACGTTGCCTTGTGGGTGATGAATTATATTCCACCCAACAACCACTTTCCCTCAAATGAAACCTTTCTAGCCTCTCACTACTATTTTCATGGGAAAAGTTCAGACGAGTTACATTCCTTAGTTCCACCAATTCAGACCTTCACAGCTAGGACCCTCCATGCTATGTACACTGGGCTGAATTAGACTCATTGCATTCATATTCCACTTGTAAGGAGGAAGTTCCACAGCTTCTCCCTCCAGAACTATTACTTTGTGGAACAGCCTCCCAAGTGGATGCTTCCCTGATCACTCTAATCTTAACCTCTTCAAGGTGTACTACGAGGTGGTGTAATGGTTAGCAAGCTTGTCTTGCGGGAACAATTACTACTGAGTAGTGAACTCTATCCACACTGGGTGCCCCCTACTTTCAGCCTTGTGCCACATCTAAGCTAAACTTGGAAAATCACTATAATCTTAAGCTCTTCAAGTCTAGGGTAAACCATTACCCATCTTACATATCCTTATAATATGCACTTCTTACTTCGTCACCTTATAACTACCTCATTCAGTAACCCTCTAACTTAAGTGGCTCTTGGACCTTTTATTGATAAATGGTACACAAAAATTTAGTAATAGTTTAGTCAGAAATAGGGGGAAAATTCAAGATAATAGTTTCGGTATATATTTTTTTTTCTGAAAATTTTCTAAGAATTTCAAACATAAAAATAATTGACTATATCTCTGAGGCGAGGTATTATGATTACTTACATTATTCAAACCGTTATCCTCACCTTCATTGCCATATTCACTTTTCAATACATCAATGAAGATGAGGATAACCATCCGAATAATTTAACTAAAAATAGTTATTTACAATTTTTCTTATTATTTCCTTTATTTCAGTGCTACTTTAGAAAAATTTATTTAATTCTTTATTTTTTATATATATATATATATATATATATATATATATATATATATATATATATATATTTTTTTTTTTTTTAAATAAATTAATTTTTCTTCTTTTCTCTCTTCATATTTTTTTTTATTTCCCTTATGACAAGGTTTTCCTCCTTGTGCCCCCCACATTTCACCCCCCACTGGCACCAACTTTCTTCCACTACTTCTATTTTGCAGTCAGTTGGACAATCTTCTGCTTCCTCTTTATTTTTTATTTTCTCTCTACAGCCATCTTTTTTTAACAAGCTCTTTATTTTGTTTGTAGTACTCTACAATATCACGTAAATTTGTTGAAGTGATGAGTGATTACAACACTACTCAAATTGACTACAGAGACCGGTGTAAAGCTCGCATAAAGAGACAGATGGAAATCAGTAAGGTTTTGCATTTTCGCTCGTCTAATATTCAGCATTAGTTGTCACACCCATATTTTCACTTACTCTTTACCATCCACATATGCAAGCACCTTTATGCAATCACATTCTCACCATTATCACACAAACTATAAATTCCTCTCACCTTTCTCAGACAGACAAATTTCAGTCACTTGTTTCAAACAGGCAATAAATTTTTCACCATTCTCACACACTATAAATTCCTCTCACCTATATCACACATACAATAAATTTCTTTCTCACCTCTCACACATACAATAAATTTCTTTCTCACCTCTCACACATACAATAAATTTCTTTCTCACCTCTCACACATACAATAAATTTCTTTCTCACCTCTCACACATGCAATAAATTCTTTTCTCACACATGCAATAAGTTCCTCTCTCACACAGACAATAAGTTCCTCTCTCACACAGACAATAAGTTCCTCTCTCACACAGACAATAAGTTCCTCTCTCACACAGACAATAAGTTCACACAGACAATAAGTTCCTCTCTCACACAGACAATAAGTTCCTCTCTCACACAGACAATAAGTTCCTCTCTCACACAGACAATAAGTTCCTCTCTCACAGACAATTTCCTCTCTCCCACACAGACAATAAGTTCCTCTCTCACACAGACAATAAGTTCCTCTCTCACACAGACAATAAGTTCCTCTCTCACACAGACAATAAGTTCCTCTCTCACACAGACAATAAGTTCCTCTCTCACACAGACAATAAGTTCCTCTCTCACACAGACAATAAGTTCCTCTCTCACACAGACAATAAGTTCCTCTCTCACACAGACAATAAGTTCCTCTCTCACACAGGAATGATAAATACCACTCTCCTCTCTCATACTGACACTAAAATGCCTCACTTCTCTCATGAAAAATGAAATCTCTATCACCTCTCTCACATGGATAATAATTCTTTGTCTCTCTCACAGGGACAATTACTCTACAACAGATATGTATCTAATCTGACATGATCAGTAGTTGAACAAGGAGTACACTCTAAGCCTCAGTCACAATGACTTTGTACTAGAAAAAACATTATATATATATATATATATATATATATATATATATATATATAATGTTCTCTTAAAGTTAAACAAAATAATATCCAAAAAGATTTGAATTAAAAGAAGGTATGGAAGTTCACAGATAAGGAAAAGGATAGTGTGGAGAGCCATGATTACATTCTGAAGAAACATGGCATTTCACAAAAAATATTTTACAAAAAAATGTTCACTCAAGTAGAATTTTGAGGGCTAATTTTTTTCTACTTTTCTGTGTTTCATAAGGTTAAGTAATAATTATATACAAAATGGCAAATAAAAACAAATTTTTTTTAATCACCAAAAGATTTTAAAATATTCACTCTAAGGAAAACATAGTTACAGCCATATAACATTGAAAAAAATGTTGAGTCTGGTCAGTACTTAGATGTGTGACTACTTAAGAATACAGGTTAATGTAATAAATAGTGGCTTGGAATGAGAAATTGGAGAGCCAAGTTCAAACTCCAGTTGAGTTCATTACATTTACTTACATGCAAATATCTTTAGGAAAGGTATGAATCTGCCTGTTCTCCACCAGCTATGGGTTAAATAGTAGTACATGTATTTGGAAAAAGAAATCATTGTTACAAGTTCTTTCCAAATTTTCTGGGATGCCCTGAGCCAGTACAGAAGAGGATGTCTCACCATACCACATGACATTGCCAAATGGCTTCTGGAGAAAATTGAGTCATGAATACACATTCTGCTGTAGGTGGAGAGTGTGTTTGATGACAACAAGGGAAATAACTCTTATCAAATAAATATGCAAATAAACATTTTTATGTAGGCATTTTGTTGGTATTGGTAAACAATTTCTTTACCATATTTCTCTGCCACACAGATATTTAACAGGCCATTTTTGGAGGGTTCTGCTTGACACTAGACATCTGAGTCTTTGAGCCAGAACATTTAATACACAGTTTTCTATCTATAATACTACCATGTCATATTCTGTATAATTCAGTATTTTTGGCAGGCCAGAATATACTGGAGATAGGTATATTTTAAACCATTTTTTTATAAAAATGAATTTCTTTTTTTAATCTTATGTTGCTTCAGAATGTAGATGATCATGGCTCTCCACAGATACCTCCTCTTTATTAACTGTGTATTGGGAAAGATAGTGGAGACATTTCCTGATTACTTTCTGCAAAGTTTGGTATTCAATTTTCATATACAATGTGGATATATATATATATATATATATATATATATATATATATATATATATATATATATATATATATATATATACACACTTAAATTTCTCATATATACTAGTTTTTTTTTTTTTACACGCATTTTTTCTAACTATTTATAGTATAATATACATACATAAACACACACACGTGTGTATATATATATATATATATATATATATATATATATTTTTTTTTTTAAAATATGATTCCATATGATTTTTCAAAAATAATTATAATATAGACTCTACTTATGTATTGAGCACTGTTTTTTTAAAAATAAAAGCAAAAATACTAAAGAACTTTGGATTATTAACCTAACAGTTCTTTCCTATTTTTCTGTATATTTACACACACACACACAGATATATGT